TTCTAGTACACATGACCAAATGCAAGTTTTATGAGATTGTAAATTACACTGTGCACATTAAACGACTATATTATATAAAATCATATTAGTACTACATAATACATCATTGCAATATATTTGATCTTATAATCATTATCGATAAGTTACGTCCACTCAAATCATAAAATTTTCTTATATTTCTTAATCACAAAATTTTATTTAAAAAAAGAACTGATAGACGACATTCAAAAAAAGTTACACGCTTGAGTAATAAAAATATGTATTAAAATTAATATGAGCATAATAATTAATTAACAAAAATAAAATGATAAGGGCATTTAAATAATAAATATAAAAGTATCTATGTGTTTTAATATAAAAGTAAAAACCTATCTAATATATAATTTAATATTTAATTTACCTCAATACGGTTTTCATTTTTATTGCAATTTCTTGCCCACTCTGTGAACTGAACAAATAAACTTTCTGATTTAACATTCGCATAATTTCTTCCAACATTAGAAGGATCCATTTTCTGTTAATTAATGTACAAAACGTTTTAAAGTTCTTTTATACAATTAGTGTACAGTAAAATAAATGAAACATACTTTTCTAGTTTTTATAACTAGAAAAAGTAATGATAAGTTTATGAGTATAATAAAAGAAACGCATGCTAAAAAATGTACACACCATTGTATATTTATTTATTATTAACATCTTTTTTGATGGAACTCGGCTTAGGAATTGTGGATTTAACGTGGCCATATAAGGAATTGAATTTTCTAACCGGTCTGTTTCCTGATGCTGATCCGGGGATTTTTGAAGCGCTAGCGCTATTTGTTTTCTTTGACGGTGAACGAGGAGAAGGTATTGAACTTGTGGATGGCAGTCTCACTTTATTTGACGAAATGTCGGTCAATGATGCATGAGATGGTGTTTGGTCGTTTCTGTTTTGTTTTTTTGCTAATACTGGGCTCGATCCGTAACTTTGTTTCACTTTTGGAAGCACCGACGATGGACGATGCAAAGTAGTTTCAAAGAATTTCTGCGTCAAAAAGAGAAACAAATTATTTCTTCACACACACTTTATAGATTTATATTAACATAGTTACTGTTTAAATGTTCTAATATTGCATCCTGAACCGAAAAATACAAAAAAAATATCTTGGAATTTGAAAAAAATAATTTTCTTGTAAAGTAAAGCTATTGAACCGTCCTCGCAAGTAGAAGTTCAGGGCACATAAAGTTGATTTATAACCGCCTACAGAAAACGTGTAGCTGGTGTGAATAAAAAACAGGAAAAGTATTTTTTTTGTAAAGTAAATTTAGTTTCGTGCCTACCTTAATTGTAACATTTCTTTCTCTAGATGGCGGTTTCTTAATTTTACCTCCTGGTGATACAGGAAGTTTATCTTTTTGTTCTATTATGTCCAACGCTTTATTAATTAATTCCGTTGAATCTCTCAATAATTTTTTAACTACTTCATAATCTTTACTTTCTGACGAATTTTTCTGCACGGGATCATCCCTTAAATCCACAGCTAACTTTATGTTCTGAAACAAATAAGAAATAACATTGCCATTACAGAAAAGTTGTATTGGTCATTACTGGACTTGATTGCGTAATTGAATCACGAACTTTTCTATGAGGGGTTGTAATTTTCGATAACGCTCCAGGTTCTGGTAATTCTGACTGTGGTGCGTTATTTGAAGTGAGGGTGTCCAATGAACGGTACCTGCTATAAGTACATAATAATTGGAAAAATCGTATCTTCAACTTTCGTGTGGTAAAGTTTGATTATATTTAAAAGGTATACAACGAATGTACCTACCTAGCAGGTGAAAGGGGTTGATTCGGGCATATTTTTGGATTAACGGCGTCATTGTATCCAAATCTTAAATCAGTTGTTGAAGATGTTGCCAGTGGAACCGAATCAGGTATACTCTGTAAGCTTGTTTCTTCTTCTTTTATTTTGTTAAGATTCGGAGAACAATTCATATTCTGATTTGAATCGGTTTTATTTTGAATCATGTGAAAAAAATAATTTAAAACCTGATGAATTAAAACCGCCAAATCTTTCGGAATACGTGGAATTAATGCACTTCCCGATTCTATGAATGA